ACCATTTATCCAACTGCCATAATCATGAGGAACATCATTCACGATGGCATATGAACCATCGGGGGTAGGTCTACTTTGCTCCGTGTAAGTAGTAGTGAAACCCAAACTAGCAGGAGTTGCTGAAGAATATTCAGATGTGCCTGCACCAAAAGTTTCCAAAAATATTGGAGTATCATAGGTGTCAGTGCAAAGACCTTGAGCTTGGATAGCTAAACGGTAAAAGCAAAGTATTATAACGGCATACCTCGTTGTTATTAGGCACGACCAAGTGTAGGAGAGTTGTAATCAGATCTAGAATAAACTGCGGATACCTGATGGAACCCTGTGTAAAATACTAAACAACCGAGTTATAATGATAGATTCATTTGAACACCGTACGCCTATGTATATATTTAAATAGTCTTTACAAGTGATCACTCGCATGTTACTAGGTATACTATACATAAATGTCGACCATATTTTTAACGTCGATACAATGTGTACGACGGGTGCTTGACTAGCAATGCTAGTTTCAAAGCATCAGTGATGTATAACTCACTGCGCGGGGAGTTATATATCATTGGTGCTTTGAAACTAGCATTGCTAGTCAAGCACCCATCGTACACTTTGTGTCGACGTTAAAAATATCAGATTTTAAATGAAAACACAGTGATCCGAATATAGAGCGTGATTGGAGCCTTTTTCGTGACTTTGGGATCATTGTCTCGACAAAATCAAATTCTTATGGACTCTCGCAGTTTTTCACATCACGTATACTATCAGAACATCGAAGCACACAAGCAATAGTTATTGCCAAGGAGATTTCCAACGTGACCAAATTTCAGTAAGAATCTCACGGAAAATGACATTTTTTCAATCCCATTCGGCAAAAGTGGAGAGTTTGTAAAAGCATGTGAAATAGATGTGCAAAATATACGAAGACATTCTATGATGCCGATGCTTCCGAACAATTTATTGTAGTAGTGTTGTTAATCCTACCCATGGATATTCCATTTCGATAGAGTTTCAGCTTATGCGACAAACGTCAATGTAAATGCGAAAGTGATCCACAGAATTATCCAGCTACGATGTAAGTACTATAGCTTCTCGTCTCAATCAAGGCAACCATTTTCGTCGTGATCTATCACATTCATTCTCATAGTTTACACTTCTATCCTCGTTGGATAAACAAACTTACACTCCTCTTGAACAAGAGAATGAACATCAAGATACAAAACTGTTTCAGCTAGAAAGATCAATATTCGTCTTACTAGTTGGTGGTTGTGTCACTTGTGTCCCCGATGACAGTGTGCATGTTTGAACTACATTGCCTCCTCTTGATCCAATGAATAAAGTTCCCTTATTATCTACTGCTATGCCACCCGTATATCCGCTTTCGATAACTGGAATACCAGTGCCATTCGTACCGGGAGGAAACTTGATGACGCCTCTGGTAGCGCCGAGGTACACCGTGTCACACGCATCAACGTAAAAACCAATTGCTGTATTGAAACCGTTTACTTTCTGCCCATTACCAGCCACAACTATGCCAGTCGATGAACCAGGCACATATTTGAGAACACGATAATTATTTGAATCGACAACGAACATATTTCCTTGGTTGTCAAAGCGAACATCTATTGGAAAATTAAGTTCCGTCAACGCGTTGCCTGCTTTGCCGCCCGGCTTGCCTGCCACGGTGCATCCTGTCTTAGCATTTGGTGCCCATCGTACTATACGGTTGTTATGACTATCGGCTATGTAAATGTTCCCTGCACAATCGACAAATAAACCATAGGGATAACTGAGTTGATTTTGAGCTGAGCCGCTACCATTTCCTCCAGCCACCACCGTTCCACCGGTCGCCGGATTCGCACCCGTAGGATACCGTTTTATTTGATGATTGAATGTATCCGATACATACACAGCATCTGAGGTAACATATACACCCCATGGATTAACAAGATTCGAGGCGACAACGGTGGGTGTAGTTTTACTACTTGGGGTGTTATCCAATCTGAACTTTTCAACGTTTCCTTTATTTGCATTGACAACATATACGTATCCCGAATTCGTCGTTATGTCGTAGATGTTGTTGAGACCTGTTGCAACAGTGGTGAGACTTGCTTTGCATACTCCGTTACATACGGGTGATAAAGCAAGGCACGATGTTTGAGCTGAAAGATAAAACGAACACGTAATTAATCATATGGAACTTATGGAAACTTATGGAAGTGTAGTATAATTATTTTTTTGTGAGATGACTAAAAACTGACAGCTAACAGGTAAGGTTAAACGCTAATGTTTTGCTGAGATATTAGCTATTTGGAAATGGTATGTTAGCAGGCTGGTAATGGATGATGTGGATTTAGTTTTAAGTACATACAGCTAAATGCTTGTTGTCACATCATGCTTCATGATGAAATAACAGGCAAAAAATGTTGATCATGAACGAGTGGTTTTTTATCAGCGTTTAGTCATACAGGCTACGTTTGAGCTATTAAACGCAACTTTTTATAGAGAGTACTTGGAATAGGATTGAGCTTGAGGCATTTTTGAGAACTATGATACTAGTTGGTTAGAAATTAACCTTTGCATTTCAAAAGTTTACAGGTTCATTCTTACTAATCGTGTCTTTTGTCGCGGAATCTTTTTAAGAGCGTTATAAGTCAAAAACTCAAAATCCGTGCAAAATGCCTTTTTACAAAAATATGGCTACCAGCAACCCGTTAACCTAAAGCTTAAATCTGGCTGTACTACGTCGCTCTCCTATGGACTTCTGACATTTCACGACCAGCCCGAGCTGCGTATCGCTTAATCTTACGAGAAATTTTTGCAACGTCAAATATTCAATTTGGTCCTTTTCGTGGCAAGATCACGGGACGGAGTTGAATTTTACACAAAAATATGGGATGATTAATATTGGTTGAAAGTTTCATCCAGATCGGACTTATAGTTATCGAGAAAGTTTTCTGGTTCTAATTTGCTTAAGCGTAAATTGGTCTGTAACAAAGCACCGAGAAATAGACCCTTTTCTATTAAACTACCATATATTCCACGGTTAATTCCAGCTTTGCTGTGGTTTATATTCTACGTTGATAAAAGATGAAAACCACTTATAGTAAATAATCTACTTAAGAAGTACAATACTGCTATGAACATGATTACTATAATCACACGTAACTTTTATTCATTGATATTTCGACAAGGTCTCTTGTCATCATCAGAATGAAAGGAACTATACAAAGTGTATATACGAGCTACCTAACACAGTGTCGTGTTTATTCTCTTTTTCTCTCTTAATTACTGTTTGACACTGTGCTAGATAGCTCGTATATACACTTTGTATAGTTCCTTTCATTCTGATGATGACAAGAGACCTTGTCGAAATATCAATGAATAAAGGTTATATGTGATTATAGTAATCATGTTCATAGCAGTATTGTACTTCATAGATTATTTAATTTAAAACTGCTCTATGAAACAATTTTACCACCTATAGTGTTTGCCTTGCTCCTCAGTTCAGACGCATGCTACAAATTAGAAAGGTAGCATAACTAGAGAAATCTAGAACATTAATTAATATGATGTTTATCACGCAGATATTTAGGCGAGAAAAGGGATAAAAGTCATCACTATAGAATAGTTTTTACTATAATTTTTTCTCGATGCAAAAGCTCTCATTCTAATACAATGTCTCTTGCTTAAAACACGACTCGTTCGTATTGGAGCACACGACACATTAGAAAATTAGGTGCCTTTGCCAGGGGCGCAAATAACGGGAGGGTGCGCGTCCCCCGAATAATTGAAAAAGCTGTTGTTATTTTATCCATTACTCCTCACGCAAAACTTTTTTTATCAATTTCACACTACCTCAGAGAGAAATTTTGGTTTACAGCCCCCTAATGTTCGGCTCCGATTTGCGGTCCTGGCCCTTGCCGCGCTTCACCAAACTAGGTAAAAATTGGGCGGTAGGTGCAAAGTTTTTCGGTGAATCCGACAGCGGGTTCCTTATAATTATACTTTGACTTCTTTTCTAGCATTACAAAATCTACGTGAGTTTCGTCTAAATTTTATTTTTCTCATTGGCGCCTTTTCTTTCAATCAATGAGAAAAATAAAATTTAGGCAAAAAGCACGTAGATTATGTAACGCCAGAAAAGAAGTCAAAGTATAATTATAAGGAACCCGCTGTCGGATTCACCGAAAAGCTTTGCACCTACCGCCCAATTTTTACCTAATTTGGTGAAGCGCGGCAAAAATGCCTAATTTTCTAATGATCCTGAAAACTTCAGTTGATCGGATCCAAAACTTTACTGCAGGTGCTAGGACGACATCTGAGTGCGGTAATTTTCCTCTTTTATTTTTGCTTTTTACTTTCAGAGTCACAGGATTTTCAAAACCCAAATTCTAGATTCCACCTAGGGCTTTCACCACTTTTCCGCATCTCCAGAATCAAGGTTCCCATACTGATATATCATTGCAGGCAGGAACCTGAGTAAGTGCCGGACACTGTGGGAGGGGGGCGGTGTAACGAAAGTTTTCTGTCCGAGATAGTGTAAACTTTCTGTTTATTCGACTTATTGGTCTTAAATTTTTTAATACTTCATATACTTTTTCAAAGCGATCGATCTATTAATTTTTGGGAGAGTGCGCACCTCGCCTATACCTCCCCCCCCCCAATTCACGTCTCTGATTCCAGGTACCTATGGTAAAATTTTAAATTCGATCAGATAAAGCTTTTAGGGGTTGTATTGAATTTCAACGAAAGTTTTCGGAAAACCCGTAAACGAAGATGCCACAAAACTACGTCGTTTCTTGCTTTTTGATGTTCTATCTCTGTTATGAATTTGAACTCAATCGAACTTTCGCTCTCACTTGGATGTCGGCAGGCAGGTAATGGATGATGTGAATTTAGTTTTAAGTACATACAGTTAAATGCCTGTTGTCAGACCATGATTTAGTTTTTCAGCGTTTCCCTCTCACCTGTTACGAACGCTGGACATATTGGAGGGGCGACTGTAGGTGCTTTAGCTAAAATAGAAAAAACAAGCCTTTATAGTTAGACAAAAAGCAGTAGAAGATGAATGTTGTATTTGATCCGCTTCTAATAGGTCAAAAAAATTTTTCGATGGTCGCACTAGCTTCGAAATTGTGCCGCTAGAGTAGTTATAAATGAGTTCGATAATTGACTACCGATAGAAAAAACGGTTTATAGGAGAGATATTCGTTTTCACAACAATTTTTACGTGTTCTTCTCCTGGATTTGATATTCCGACCTTTCATATGCTATACTTCTCCAACTACGCATTTTCCCATTGCACTAAGTTGTGCAAAAGGAAACTACGAGTTATGATGATAGATTCATTTGAAGACCGTACGCCTACGTATATATTTAAATAGTCTTTACAAGTGATCACTCGCATGTTACTAGGTATACTATACATAAATGTCGACCATATTTTTAACGTCGATACAATGTGTACGACGGGTGCTTGACTAGCAATGCTAGTT